TGAGTAATCGTTTCTTCACAATGAAAAGGAGTTAATCCACTAGCAAGGTGTTACTTTGTTTCTACCTTATGTTACAATTATTTACTATCCTCTCTGAATTGAAATACAAACATCACTATTATAGGTATCACTTAAACATTTCTTAATCATTGGATTCATACTAAGTTTGTATACTGATAAGTGAGTCAGTTTGGTCCTCCAACAGTAATGTCAACATATTTATCGCCACAAAATAACGTGAATTACGAGACGTAAGCCACTTTAATTTTATATGAGTGACCATTTGATGGACCAAAAATATGCGGGATGGGCATGAAAATTCGTCTTTACAGACCTGTCAGTTCGACCTATGAGAATAGTTGTTCAGAATTTCTTATTAATGTCTTTATGACATTATGTGTGGCTATTGAGAGGGCACAACACTAATCTACTTATTCAGTATGTACATTCTTCAGAGAGGGTTCACTGTAGGATATGCTAATGGAAACATTTGACCATGTTGTAAGTAATCGATGAGTTAATTTAAAGAGAATTTGTGACTTGATTTGTAAATAAACTAATTATGTACATATCCAACGAGTGAGCCACTGTTTTATACAACGCCACAAAATTCTTAACACCACTTCACTAATGAAAATTGACAATGAACACTATATAATTAGATTTTAAAATATTTGCCCTTTTGTTCAATTTGATGGCAAGAATGAAGATAACAAATATGCAGTTCATCTAAAGTATGAACTACATATGTTTTCTGATTTAGCTAGGAAGAAAGTTTAGTGAAATTGAAAAAAACTAAACAGTAATTATTTTATCTATCTTTCCGCCTGTAGTTGCTACTTTTACGAAGTAGTTTGTCTTGGCAATCGAGCTATATTGGCTGAAACAACTGTTCTTTCAATTCCTATCACTTCACACAGGTCAGTTGAGAAGCAGCGACTTGAGGTGAAAGGACGGAAGTTATGCTTTTGTCTGTACTGAAGTGTAATGGTAGTAAGGTATCTCCATTAAACAACCAGCATTTGCTGCGATGTCACTCCCATACAATGAAAGGAAGAGGTTAGAAAACGTTGGTCCTCAAAATGTAACACCTCACTTTACCCTACGGATGTTGGTCTGCGGTGATAGGGTAGTTTGAAGCACGGAGTTAACATATTAAAAACTTCCCACAGAAATGCTGTCTGATCAATCACAAGTAGTCGTTTCCTGGACTCCGTGGGAGATGCCAGATCGGTACGACCATTGCTTATCTAGTTTCCTTCTCAGGTCCTTCCACAATATGAGCAGTCGGGGAACGAGAGCCGCCATGATACTTCTGGCAACGCCCGAGATCACTTAGATCGGGATCAAGTCCCTTCACCATCTCTTAATATTTCTCCCGTACCCATGACTAACTCTTCCCTTACTTTATCACCACGACTCGAGTTCACCAAATTTTATTTATTATCTCTTGAAACCGCACTCTAAACTACATGTTGAGGCTGCTAATGTTCAAACTTTATGACAAATAGGCCAAGACTTCCTGAGCTAGGTCTCTAGAATTACGCACCGTCGACGAGTATGTACTTAAGTGAAGTAACTTACCACCGCTCACCTAGTAGATACAGAGAACCGGCACAACTTACCCTCTGTGTATCTAGAAACTTTGATGTCACTTTTCGCAGAGTGACAGGTGTAGATATAGAACAAAGTTCATCAGCGGTATACTGGATCCCAATCAACAGTCGCTTTTGAACTGTCCAACTGAGTAGGGCGGATTAAGAACAATATGGAAAGGTGGGAACACTCACTGTTGCCTCTTCGTTTTCGCTGCCTGCAGTTCGGATAAAGTAAAGAATGTTCACTTTTAACTCATTTCTCAGCTACTTGGTTATGAGCCACACTAATACACGATTTGCGGAACCAAAGTAGGTGGGGCGGAGATCGAATACGAGATCTAAAGGAGTGTTGAACACCCGCACCATTAGACTACCGCTCAACAAGTAGAGGACGAGTTTTACGGAAAGCTTCCTGCACTCCTACAAAAGGCCAAACGCTTAGACTTAGCAATCATAGTACGAGAATTTAACGACCTAATAGGCAATTTACACCATAAGCAGGTCTTAGTGTCCCAGCCCAACGAACATACAACGGCGACCATCTATTGCAATTACGACCAGCGAACCGCTTATGCTGATCAAGTATCAGCTTTAAGCATAAAGAGACATCTAACATGGTGACCACAACCTAGTCAACCATGGAAACACGTAGACCATATCGTTATCGGCCATCGTTGGAGAGGCCATATGTTCAGACTCTGGTCATCCTCTATTACGAGCACACATTTGTACAGCAAGAAAACTTCTTAGAGTTCAACCCAACAACGAAACCTGCAAGAATATCCTTCAGGAACAAATAAAGGAAACATTAATCAATCGTCATATTGATGTTTATCCTGAGATGGGTTGGTATGATATCCAGACTATTTTGAAAATATTAGTGGTATGTATGAGTAAATATGACCAAAAGGTAAAGAAGAATCAGATCTTAAGTGTCTACCGAACTAATGGATGCTAGAAAACTCATCACATGAAGCTCGGAGAACGAGGAGTGAAGGCAACTTGGAAGTAAACTGACAAAAGTCTATACAATGATCGTGAGTAGTGATTGACAGCGAAAGAAAAAGATGCAGGAAAGGCGTGGGTGATATGTAACTACAAAAAACTCCTTGAACTTATCAAGGAAATGGGCGTTAAAACCAGTGTTAGTGAGACCTGGGACAGATGACGCAATGATCCGCTCTCAACCTAGTAGACTGAAACAATTAGGATAGCACTTTGAAGAACATTCTAACTTTCCTTCAGCTAACGTTCAGTTCCCTACTTTTACAAGACAACTTAAACGGAATGTCCAGATGAGCTCTCCGACTTTTAATGAAATGGAATGTCATAGACTATTCACTGCGAAGGAGAACAGCAAGTTCTAATGGATTAACCCGAAGGATATGTAAGGATAGTAGTTTGGTTTCAGCTGTTGGATTCACTGAGATACTAGCTAGTATCTGGTAATTGGACGTAATCTGATCCGGTTGGTCTCGATAGCTAATCGTTCAAGTTGAGAAACAAAAGAACTACCGTGATGACCACAGAGGGATTAGTTTGACTTACAGTGTCTAAAATATTAGTCACAATCATTATCCAACACTTTATTAGAGCTCATGAAGAGCGAACTTAGGAAAACTGGCTGGTTTTAAACACAGGGACCAATGTATAGACCAGTTAATCAGGTCTTGTAAAATTCTTGAACATATACACACCCAATGACTCCCAACAACAGCTGTATTTGTGGATCCTCTTTGTAGATCGAAAGGTCTTATGAAAGCTTTTTATTTAAAAACCTACAAAAAAGTACATTTCTCTTGTACAAGTTCTGCTCGAACACTATTTGTCAAGTCAGCGAACTGTCATCGGAATTGACAATCAGTATTGTCTGCTTTCCCGACCTTTATTTAACTATGTCATAGGCATTCTTTCAGAGGAAGTCAACTTTCTAACATGAGATTTTCCTGATGACATAGATGATACAGTTCTTATCGGTGAGGACACTAAAAAATGCAATTTCTGATTTCCTTAAGTAACAACAATAGCATGTTTGAGATATGTTAATTTAACTCCAAATGAAGAATGTTGCTTCATGACTAGTCTGTATCATCCCCAAGATGATCACACGGTGCAGAGCAGACAAATGTGTTGATTACTCCACTTTAGTTGGAAGTTTCATCAACCCTAGTGGGTTGGTGTCTGAAGAAATATCAGCACAGAGTCATAAACCCCAGCTGGCTTCTGTCACTTGCGTCACAGGCGAGATAAGTGTGCCAAAGGAATATTATAGTACCCAGCGGTTCGCTCCATTATACTTGATGCTGGTGAAACATGCCCTTTGAGAATAGAGAATATTAATAGATTTTCAGTAATCCAACATAGTTGATTTCGAATTTTTCGCGCGTTTGAGAGCATAGAGTTGGTAATTATGGAGTTATACGCAGAGTACTAGGTAAGAGTGATTAACCGATTGAAGTGGAACTTTGTTGACTGGAGAAGCTATGATGAGAATTACGTGTCCCGGTCCACCGACCATCATGAAGCTCAATGATGGCTGGCGTAGTAGGTTGGAAGAAAGCTTTGAAGTCAAACCAAGAAGCACAGAGAGGGTAGAGAGCGCGTGATTATTGTGACCTATGATTAGACTTCGGGTGATATGGCCCACATTGGTACAGGTAAATTAGCTCCTTACCTTTCTTTAGTTTCTCAGTCTATAAATTGCCTCTTGAATTTTTTGTTACACGAATCCATACTTTTTCGACGACATATTACTCTGACAATTTTATCTCGCTGTTAACGGGGTGTGGCAACTTGACCCTGTGTATTATATATACACCAAACCCTGTCTCTCAGACGTTAGTGAACAAGCATCTACCGGTTGTATATCAGTAGCAAGGCTTGAAAATTTCACACATGCTGGTTTCCAACCTCATGGTACTATAAGCACAAGAAATACCCCTATTTTGAATAATAAACCACATAGTCCAAGTGGGGTAACTCCTGATGAAGGATAGATTAAAGCTACAGAAGAAGTATAGCATGTAAAAGGCGACATCCACCCTCGGTTTGCAAACGAGTGAGTTCAGGTAAAGTATCCGACATGCAGTCAATAAACATCAGATTCTGAGTAGACGCGTTTCACTAAGTCGTCAATCCGAGAGGAGTCGCCAAGACTAATGCTCTCCTATTCATTCCAAAATACTGGGAGTTTTAAACAAACCCTGCATTGCGACAGATTCCACGAAGTAAACCCATAATGGAAGCATACGAAAAGTTAGTCACCCACCCAAATGAAAAGATAACTATTCTATTGATTAACTATTCCCTAGTCGATAACAAAAACAGCTCATTACAACTTATTTTTGTGACAACCAAATAATCCTGATTAATCTTGGACCCGCTTAGATTTTAAGCTACAAACAACAGCACTAATCTTTATTAACAAAATAAAAGCCGGTGATTATCCGTAAAAGATGTGTTTATAAAGCCTCATAATATACAAGTCTAAGAGTAACCATACTGTTTAAGGATTGCTTGATATGGTGCAATCGCTTCTTTAGCTCGTCCTCTGACAACCTCGCTCGGTTTCTTCAGAAGCTTTTTCCTTTTATACCAGACAGCTGCCTTGGCTTTCCGACGATTCTCCATCTTTTCGATTACATTCTTATACTTCCACCCGACGTCGTTAGACAAACGAGATAATACAGAAAACTATGGAAAAGTAAAATGCAATTAGACAACCAACCTTTCGTCCTGGCTTCAACCGGATTGCTCGTAAAGCTGAAGGAACAACCATGCGCTTCTTCTTGTCGTATGGAGGAGGTATGCCTTCGAAAACTTTGAGTCTGTCAAGAGCCTGTTTCCCACGGTATAACTTGTGAGGAAGCATACCACGGACAGTACGCCAGAATATTTTTGCGGGTGCTCTGAAGTGATATGGACCTCTCGATGGGTTGGTGTTCATCCGCTTCCTAAGGAAGTCAAGATATTTTACTACGAAGTAAACTTAACAGCGGTGACCTACATTTATTTCGATAAAACGATCCTGATATATTGATGCCTTCACACCGTACTACGACTACTTTCTGACCATTGAGCAATGTTTTGGCCACAACAGAGGCCAAACGACCAAGAAGATGGCCTTGTGCATCTATAATTATGGGCTAATATTATGAATAATTTAAATCCAGTCCCCCCATTACCTTTTTTTGGAAACTCATGCCTACACGAGTGACACCACAAAATGCGCACTAATAAAGAGTGAGAATTAAACAAAATGGGAACTTCAATTTTCAATCAACGGTACTTCGAAATAATTTTTTCAAATTTTTCAAAGTGATGCTAAAGATTGATTATGCTGAAAATTTCACACAGTTTCCATAGTGTACATAAAAAGTGTTTAGCACTCACATCTGTATGACAAAATGCTAGTGAGTCCCCTTTCCTTTATAAGGGGATAGATTATATCCAAATTTGGAGATGGGTGGAACGAAATAATAGGGCTTGATGACTGTATAAATGGCTAGTGAGATCTCTAATGACAAATTCACGTCCTTCTACAGAATTTCGACTTGTCACTCTATGGAATTCAGATTGGAAAGGACAGGAGGCTGGGCTTGTGTTAGTTCTGGCAGTGGTTGTCATATAATGAAGGCCTGGGTCAATATGAGTTCTGGCAGGAGGATTCATATCTTGTACCAGAGTACTATAGATAACCGCACCAACTACTTTCTTTTCGGAGAAATTTGCAGAAAACTTGGTCCTCGGGTTTTTCCAATCTACTGTAGGTGAACTCAAGTCTCCTAAGCTTAAACATCGACCAATTGATGACCAATGGTTGAAACTGTGTAGCAGGGCCTCAACTACCTCACAGTAGAGTGAATACTTGATCTCTATCATTGTGACATGTGCTAAGTTGTTTGAGGTCAACTCTTATCCAATCAACTCAAGCTGTTAAAAACCCAGTTTCTGTGACAGCAGTTGCACCCAGCTTGTCAGTGTCTCTGTTTAGACCTATCTTCGATAACCCACTGAATATTCTTCAATCATCTGTATGGAAGATCCGAAGACCACTTAACGGGCCCGTGTTACACCCAAAGTGGCTTTGAAATCATTTACTGTCGAAAAATCACCTCCTGAATTTTCGGAATTTAAGGAAAGAGGACATAATATTTTGGATATTCACAGGGAGCCACGATAGAGTTAATGATGTGAATAATTTTAACCGGGCTGAAATAAAACAGTTTACAAACCAAGGCCAAAACCACTTGCTTTCGACCTACAGTTCGCGAAAAATAACGAGACGATCCGAGTCCTGGGCCTCAAAATCTTCAGTAGTTCCCATCTACACTATACTTTGGGTCTTTCTCAGATAAGAGTTCGGTAAGTTTATGTTACCAAGTATGTGTTTACATGAACAGGATTGGAAGTTTAATGTTACTGCGGATAATCGACTGCATCAATCACATGTTTAGACTCCCGGTTACCCTTAGGTTTTCTACTGTTGACGTGATCAGCACGTGCGGGAAGATATTCAGCGTGATAAACTTGGGGGTATGTGATACTTTGTTAGTTGAAGTATCGTACCTATGGTATTTTTAAACTTTGTCAACCTTTAATCGGTATGTCTCTATTAACAAATCAGTTAGATTGTGTAGTCCAAGATCGGAGGGCGAGTTACTTCATAATGTGGCCGAAACTCTTGTTTTAAAGAAAGATGTGGGACCTAATGAAGTCTAGGACTAAAAAGTCATTATTTTTTCAACATACATAACCTATTATTCCTTGCTTACGTTGCTAGTCCACGTATATTTAGGTTATTTACATGTAATATTTGCTTGAGATTGATATTTGGACAAGTTTATTCCACTGAAGCATGTAGATGCTATTAAAGCTTGTTGACGAACCATCAAAGCTAATTAATATAAATGACCAGTTATTGGTATCGATTGAGTTAGTATGTTATGAATACTAATCAGCATAAAATTACGATAATACATGTGAGCATTAATCAGAGGACCAATTGAATTCTGAGACATTAAAAAGAAAAATATATTTGTAAAATCTCAGCGAATGAATTTTAAGTAAATCCAACGTTTCGTCTGGCAATCTGGTCCAAGCTTTTTCAAAGAAAATATAATCAAACAACAAAATTATCGAATATAAATAGGTACATGGTTCTTCGGTTTACTGTATACTGAATAAGTCATCCAATCAACGTGAAGGATTTTTTATAAATAGGTATTTGCATTAATGTGTAAGGGACATGTTTATATAAAAATAATATGAAAAATAATAAAGGTCAACCAAATAAAAGTTCATTTGAAAATAATCAAGGGGAGAGAAAGAATAAGAAATTGTCGTATTATCCTAGGCCATAGAATGACTTGAGGATTACCAAGGTAAATTCAAGGTTACGACAAATTGTTTTTGTACACATAAGGACAAGGTATGTGTCATGGAACCAAAAACGTGTTAAGACAACAGAATGTGTTTATACGCAAGTGATGTGAGAAGAAATTTCATTCAACTAAATATTGACTTCGGTCTGTGTATATTAAGAAAACAGATAATTTTTAGATATGAAATGAATCAAAAATGCCACAGCCTGCATTCTGTGAAGATAAATAAGATAAGTAAACAAAATAAAAGAGGAATGTATATGTAATTGAAGGTGTGTGTTATTTTTAATGTTCCAGTCAACTGTTTAACAGATTCAGATAAGATATCGAATTTGAATCAGTGAACGTATTATCTCTCAATTAGTTACTATGGCATAGATATATCAAATTGCAAAAAGGTAATCATGTTTACTTATTAATTATTAGTTGCCATGGGGCAGCTATTTGTATTCCATTTCTCCTATTAATATTGTTTGAATTAGCCCTTAGCTCCGAAAAACAATCAGTCGATTCAAATAATTATCATTACTATTATTGTCATTATTAATACTATTATTATTACTATTATTGTCGTTATTATTATTATTATTATTATTTACCACATTATTCACCCTCTTTTATACTTATACAGCGACTCGGCTTTGGTGAAAATTCGACTGTATCTAAACGTTCTCGAGTCACTGTCCGGTTGAAAGTTGTATGTTACCATCGAATATGAGTACTGAAGCAGTTTTTCTGAAACCACGTGCACCATTCAAACTGGCTGCCTTCAACGTTCGCACACTTATGCAGGTTGGTCAACAGATAAGGCTGGCTATGTCTTTGGAAAGTCTTAATATTGATGTTTGTTGTCTATCCGAGACCCGTATTCAAGACTCTAGCGAAGTACTACGAATTCGCTCTACATCTGTCACTTCAAAAAGCTTGTTTTACGTGCGCTTATCCGGGGACCCTGTGGCATCTTCGTCTGGTCTTGCAGGCGTTGGTATCGCACTAAGCGCTAGAGCTGAGGCAGCACTAGTCGACTGGATCCCCATTAACAGTCGGTTATGTGCTGTTAGATTAGAGAGTTCCATCAAAGTGAGAAGAAATCGGCGTGAGAAACGATGTCTTTTCGTCATCTCCGCCTATGCCCCGACAGATTGCAGCCCGGATGCAATCAAGGATGAGTTTTACCACCAGTTATCTGTTCTTCTCCAGAAAGTGCGTTCGACAGATATTGTAGTACTAGCCGGAGACTTGAATGCTCAGGTCGTGCGTCTAGGCACAGAAGAGAATCGTTTAGGTGACCGATGGGGACTTGTTAGTCGCAGGACAGATAACGGGGACGTCTACTGCAACTGTGCACAGACCACAACCTGTTTCTGGCTAGCACTAACTTTCGGCACAGTCATCGCCGATGTGCCACCTGGCGTCCTCCATCTGCATCCCAAGCCTGGACTCAGATTGATCACATCGCGATCAGCTACCGCTGGCGTGGTTGTGTAAAAGACTGCCGCTCCTTTTGGAGTACCTATCTGGACTCTGATCATGCCTTGGTCTGCGCCAATCTTGCCTTACTTTTCAGTGGCCAACGAAGTGACCGCCACCAAAAGATTGATGTTAGCAAGCTGGTTGCAACTTCTGTTGCAAGTAAGTATCGAACCGAGCTAGCTGCTAGGATAGCTACCATTCCACCGAAAAGTATAGATGAGCATTGGTTGCAATTGCATGACACGATGAAAATGGCGGGTACAGTCAGTTGTGCGTTCGCGAAACGTCCCGCTTATAAACACTGGGTTTCTTCTGGTTCCTTACAACTCATTGAAGCTCGTCGGTCTACTCCGGGTGACCGTGAGTTTGACCATGAACGAAGGATGTTATGTAAGGAAATTGGGCAAAGCTTGCGTAAGGACCGAGAAGCCTGGTGGTCGGTGCGTGCTAATGAGCTGGAAGCAGCAACTGCATCTGGTAATTACCAGAAGCTCTTTCAACTCATCCGAGCCACTGGCAGCCAGAAGTCTGGTGTGAGCGAAACAATCTACGAGGATCGCATTACTGAACATCATCCGACGTGGTTAAACAAAGGATAGGTAAAAGTGATTAAAAGTTTTATTCTCTCAAACTTGGTTGACAACAGGTCATCAAGTCGGATTGAATAAAGCTTTTAAGGTTATCTACAATATCCCATCTAATTTGCCACATGGTTTACGAGTGCGCCTCTTGCACATCGCGGAAGCCATCGCATTCCATGTTCACAAACCTGACCTTTGCATTCAAAAGAGATTCGTACAACCACTTTCTCTGCCCTGGCCATCAGTTTAAGATTTCCTTCAAAAGAAGTTTTTCATACTTCCACTTGTTTTTTTATTTTTATTTTTAACTTTTGTAATTTTATTTCTGTTGCTTTTGAACTTAATAACTTCTCAACATTCATCTCTTGAGTCTTACGTAACTACCATTCTATTGACCATCCGTTAAAATTCTGTTCCTTCTTTGTTTCTTACATTACGCAGCGTAGCAACTTCTTGATCACTTTGAATATTAATAATCCTCTTTCTTCCAATTAATCAATGTTAATTTAAATGTAATTATTACGTAACGTATCTACTCGATGAGTATTATATTATTATTGTAAAACATATATATATTAGTGTATAGCCATGATGAAAACCTAATTGAAAAGAAATTTCTTCGCTCAATTTGTTCCTTCTTTATTTACCAAATGGCGAAATGGGAATTTTCACTATATAGAAGGATTTTAACTCGTCAAAAAAAGAGAGAACAATAGCGAAGAGATTGGTGTAAGGTAATGTGCTAGTAATCAGGGGACGCAAAGGTACAATCGGAAGAAATCTTTCAGGTAAGGGAGACACAACCACTTTTTACGAAGAAAGCAAAAGAAGGTTACAGCAGGATCGCCACT